GAAGAAAGTTTGGGAGAAGAGAGAGAGCTTCATGGAAGTCAGCAAAGATTTTTCATCTGAGTGCTGACCAAGAACACACATACAAAGACAGCACTCAAAGGAGAAGGCACTATGAAGGGGCTGGAGAGATGGTTCAGGGGTTGACTGACTGTTCTTCCAGAGGTTCTGAGTTCAATTCCCAGCAACCACATGGTGGCTCACAACCATCTGTGATGTGATCTGGTGCCCTCTTCTGGCAAACACTGTATACATGATAAATAAATAAATCTTTTAAAAAATATATTAAAAAAAAGAAAGAAAGAAAGAAAATGGAGCAGGAAGAACAAGCTCTGAGATACAGATAGAGTTGGGAATATTTCATGTGTCTGCTACTCAGTGGGAAAACATTCGAAGATAAAGGATGAGTTAAAATGATGAAGAGAGCATTGTCCCAGTGATGGATCAAATTGGCCCTGGATTGGTGCTTGTGCTACCATTGACTAGCTAAAGTTAAACAAACAAACAAAAAGTTAAAAGTAGTTCTCCAAAGGATTGAAATGTTAATAACTGTGCTCTATCTAGGACAAGGATGAAGACAACTTAAAAAAGTACAAGATCAATTCCCAGCATTAAAAATTTAAATTTTACTGTATCTATTATGTATTAAAATTACTAGGTATGCAAAGGAATAGGCATTTTCAATCCATAATAAGGATAAAAACTGCCAATAGAAAAAGATACTAATGATAAGTGGGTAGGCAAGGATAAACAGTTCTTATAACTAGGTTCCATGGGTCTAAGAAGGCAGAAGGAAATACATGAACATACAAGGAAAGATATGATGGTATAAAGAGGATCTGAACCAATCATGTAAAGGAATGTCTTAGATTAAAAAAAAAACATCAATGAGACTAGGAGAAGATTAAATACTGCAAAAGAAATGAGTGGTAAACTTGAAGAGAAATAAAATAAAAGTGAGAGACAATAACAAAAACAAAAACCAAGTAGCAAATAGTACCTAATAACTCATCTGGAAAACTTTAAATAAATAACTACATGTGAAACTAGAGATTCCAAAAGAGTGTATATAATGTGTACAGGAACAGTGAGAGAATGGACATATTTGAATAGGCTATAGCTAAAAAAATTCCAAACTTTATGAAAACTTAAAACCCCATGAACAAAGAAACCCAGTATATCTGAAGCATACGAACATAAGGAAAATTCTACTATTGAATTACATAATTAAATATAAAACTCGTGAGTAAAAGAAGATCATGGGCTGGAGAGATGTCTCTGTGGTTAAGAGTGCTTGCTGCTCTTTGAGGGCTCTGGAGTTTAGGTTCCCAGTACCCACAAAGGGCGACACCCATAACTCCCACTCCAGTGGGATCTAGCACCCTTCCTTGGGCTCCTGCGTGCTCCTGTATACACATACAAGCAGACACACAGACATCATATGCATAAATTTAAAAATATCTGTTTTAAAAAGAGAGTATTACAAGCTGAGCACAGTGGTGGACATCAGTCTTTTAATTCTGAGAGCTCAGGAGGCTGACACAGAGGGATTTCTAGGAGTTCAAGGACAACCTGATTTACAGAGAGTTCCAGGGTCCCAGGACAACCAGATCTACATAGAAAGACCCTGTCACAACAATAATACAAACAAAACAAAACAAAACTCACCACCAGTAGCAGCAGCAGCAACATAAAAAGAGAAAATAAAAAAAGCAGAATGATGTTTTTTAAAAACATTATATACAGAGGCAAAAAGGTAAGGGTGATAACAGACTTCTCAGAAGTAAAATTATCAAGATGACATATTTAAAGCACTGAAAAATATGTCAACATAGACATTATACTCAGAGAAAGTAACTAAAAATTAATGATGGCAAAAAAGACCTTTTCAGCATACAGAGATAGAGAGACTATGCCATACTTAAAACACAAGAAATAGTAAAGATATATTTCAAGCACAAAGAAAACTGTACCAGATGACTATATGTATCTACACAAAGAAAAGAAGAAAACCAGAAAGTGTAGAGACTTAGATACACTCATTTTTAACACTCTCTTTAAAATCATTGCTTAGTGAAAAAACAATCCACTGTGGGTTACCTAACATATGACTAAAATAATATAAAGACCCAAGAAAGGAACAATAGAAATCTTTGTGGTCCACACATGATCTGTTAAGTTATGTGAACAAGGAAGGTAGGGATTTGTCAGTTTGTGGGAAGTTTTTTGTAAGAAAAGTTTTTCAATGCGTAAAAACTCACAGTTGATCAAAATCAGCCACTACATGGGATATCTAAAGCAGGTACAAGTTTCAACATTTGCTTCCAATGCACTTGTGTATATTTGGCTGTATAGACATGTACTGCTTATCTCCCTTCAGAGAAGGGCTGCTCCCGCTGTTGGGAGGGTTCTTGGCTGCAGCTTTCTTGGCAGCAGAGCCCTTTGCAGAATTCCCTCCATGGAAGTGGGGGGATAAAACCCCGACCACTTTGGCCCATTGTAGAACAACCATGACTGCTATTTCAGCTCCATGACTCCCTGACGGTGCCAGGGTCCCACTTGGATGTCGACTTCTCTCTCTGCCCTCTCCTTGTTCCTCCCTCAAGGGTTTGTCCCAAGAGCACTGCCTAAACACATCCTACTTTCTAAACTGCTTCAGACTCTGCTTCCTGTGGATGCCAAACTGCAAGAGCACTTTACTGAAAAATATAACCCAAATCGGAGAACCCTAGAGAGAAGGAACCATTGTCAAGTGATGTGTTAACATTTTAGTTTAAGTAATTCCACAGTTTTATTTCGAATGGCTTTTACTTAGCATGTAATTGTGGTTCACAAATTCTTTCATATAGGATTGGCATTTCTACCTTCTCTCTCCCAAAGGAGACATATTATGAAAACATGAAAAGACAATAAAGCAATCAAGATGGGTTCTTTATTCTTTAACCATTCAGGAAACCCACTATTTCAGGATGGCTTAGTTTCAGAGAGGAAGTATATTAGGAGCTGTTGATAGTGGTTTGTTTTGAATACTGAGCCAAAAGAAGCTTCTAAAGTGATCTGATTATAAGAACTGTCCTTGGATGTCCCAAGGAAACCACCTACCATTAGTTAGGCCTGAATATTTAAACTGCTACTCAAACCCCAGACTGTATGTAATATAGGGAATATAGTAATCTTGTAGACTAGCAAAGAGATACCTCCATTATATGTTTTCCCTTGCAGCTCCAGATGGTGGCAGGACAGTGTGTTCCTAGCTCTCCCTCTTCTTAAAAACACTCTGCAGCCAAGGAAGATGTGTGTGTGTGTGTGTGTGTGTGTATGCTTATGTCAGTGTGCATATGTGTGTGCCTCTGTGTGTGCGTGCGCGCACGCTTCTGACAGATTTCATTACCATCAACTTTGATCCCTAGGAAATACTTCCTCATATCTTTGTTTTGTTTTTTTCTAGGAGCTCTGTGGGTGTAGCTGGGAGCCAGCTTGAGACAGAAGGAGCTCTTAACCTCACTGTGGAAGAAGAAACCACCCTCACACTTTAGGCTAGAAACTTACAGACAAGATATACCCACCCCACCCCCATATTTCTTTTCTGAAGTGCTGAGAATTGAAGCCAGGGTTCAAAGTACTCTCCCACCAAACTACCCTGCCAGCCCTGGTGGTTCCCCCTTCTGCTGTTTGCTGTGTTGGGTACTGAACACATGTACTTTACACTGAAACCATAGCCAGGCAGATTTTTTGTTTGTTTGTTTTTATTTTTTAGGCAGGATTATCTGGATAATAATTACTTAGGAAGTAGAAAAAACATCATCCCCCCAGTGTAAGCAGGAGATTGCTTCTAGTATTACTCTCTTTAAATAATAATCCACAGATGTGCAATCCTTTGTCTAAAAATGGGATAAAGTGCACATAAAACTGACACCTGTCCATAGACTTTAAATCATCCATAGCTTGCTTTTTATAGTTAATACCATTCAAAAAAGTATTATATTCTTTAAGAAATATGGGGGGTTCACATACAGCGCAGATACAAACCCCTATTATTTGTTGTGCCATGATGGCACATGCCTTTAATCTCAAGACTCAGTCGGTCTACAGAGGCAGTCGGTCTACGGAGTGACTTCCAGAACAGTCAGGGCTCTTACACAGAGAAATCTTGTCTCGAAAAACAAAAGCAAAACAACACCCCTAAACCAAAACCCCATTATTTTCTATTTGTGAAACCCGATGTAGAACCCGTGGAAGTAGAGGGCTGCCTAAAATTTGACTTAAGCTTTTTCTTTTGGAGACTCATTAGTAATAATTACCTTTGGAGTCACTATAATATTTTCAGTCGCGTATATTTCAGTTATTACTTGTCAATTAGGGGAAACGGTGGTCTGTCTCTTAAAGGAACGATAATTATTTGCAAGAAAAGACAGGCAAGATGGAAATGGTAGCTTCTAGAGGAGACAGTTTTCCTAGGGGCTTCCACTCCAGGCTTTCTCCAGGGAGGTCTCAATTTCCACAAGTGTCAAATGGGGTGAGCAGATTAGATGGAAGCACCTAGAAGGAACCTGGGACAGTGCCTGGCACAGAGCATTGCACAAATGCTGTATCTGAGTCTCTCTCATCCATGAAGATGTGCCCCAAATCACTTACAGCCCCCAGGGCCTGTTAAATCCTTTTCATTACTCCTTATGGCTCTGGAGAATCACAGAAAAGGATTTCCCATGCTCTTCCTTCCTTCCTTTCGTCCTCTCCAAGATAAGGAAGTGGCTCTCTTTGTTTCTTGGATTCGGAAGCTCGCACGTGTCACTCAGGGCATCCCAGTCCCCTGGCTTGCTGGCGTCTGGGGGAGGAGGGCTGCTGGCTTCTGCTGGTGCAGCGCGGCGGGAGGCCACCGGAGGCGATGGGGAGGCGGGCACAGTCAACCCAAGGGTGGAGAAGGGGGAAGGCGACAGACGCTCGTTCCTGGGCTCGTGACTGCCGGCGGCCCGGGGAATCTGCGTCCACACACTCTTGCAGAGATGGCAGGCGGTGACGGCCAGCGCTTCGTGGGCACCCTCCACCTGCTGCTGCTGGCAACCGTCCTGTCCCTGATAGCCGGGAGTGGGAGCCCTGGCACCACTGCCTGGACGCAGGAGAAGGTGAGGGGCCTCTGCAGCGTGCTGTACTTCAGTGGCTCTTGGAGGGCGACAAGACCCGGGACCTGGCCACCTCCTCCTGGACTAGCCGGAGGCGGGTCAGGAAAGCTGTCCCCCTGCCCAGGCGTCCAGTCCCCACCCAGGACCTTGGATCCAGGCCTCTCTTTCCCAAGCCTGAGCTTCAGGGGTGGTCTCGGGGCTGCGCTGGAAGCGCCTGGGGGCTGGGTGATGTCACCCTCCTCCCTTTGGCCGCGCTCTGATGGGGGAGCTGATAGACGCAGGAAGAGTGTCTCGCTGGCTGTGGAAGAACTGGCATGGGGGCACCACCGCCCGCTCGCTACCCTGGAGGCTAGCGATCCCCGCGCTCCGGGAGCTCCTGGGTGCCTAGACTAGTCTAGAGATGTGTCCACGAATTCCCAGCTACGGCATTCAAGGATGCTCCGTGGGGATCGAGTTCCCTTGTGGACTCAGCGCCAAAGTATAGTTAGATACTCAAATTTAAAAGAGGCACAGGGTGTTTTCAGATAAATGAATTGAGTTGTGGAAATCTCACTTAAGGGAGTCAGAATAAAAATGATTTGCCAAGTAGCTCTGTGCGAAGAAAACAGAGCCACAATTACTTCCTTTTCTTGCTCAACGGTTTTGAAATCACGAAATTGCTAAAGGCTGTGCCAATGTTGATGGTTTGGGAGTAAAATGGGATGGATGCCTTTAAAGAAACTAAGAACAGCAGCAGTCTAGGGCTATAAACTTTCGACAGAATTACTAAATGACTGTCTTAAAAGCTTCCAGTGTTTTTGAACGTCTGAAACGTTCATTCCCAGTTAGTCTCATGTGCATGTGTATGAATGCCCACTCCAGAGGAGTTCTGCCTTAGCCACCTTCCCTTCAGGGCTCTCAACAGACCCCGTTTAACAGGGTTGGGGTGGGGGACTGGCTAGCGTGGGGGAGGAAAGTCAACTCCAGTCACTCCAGGATGAGTAGAACAATTTCCCACAGAGGCTCCAAAGTGCTGTGCAAGCAGTTGATCAAGATCCTCTTCTTCACTGTTTGGGGTCCCTGGGAGGCCAAGCATCGGGAAGGGGATCTTAAACCCAGAATATGGCATCAGGTCAAACATGTCTTTAAGGCAGTTCTAAATGGGTGGGGCCATAGGGTTAGAAAGAGCCGAGCCACACCCAGGGCCTGTCTGTGGGCAGGTATAGTACACAGGTGTTTCTAGGTGGGAGAAAGAAAAGTCTGTGATTCTTAAAATGTTTTAAATTAATGAGAATTTAACTTTCAAGAAATGTCTTTTGAAATGTGAATTTCTATTTCCTTTATTTTGAGAAGCCTCTAGGGATGGTTTCACTGGGAAAGCAAACACTCTCAAAGGCACAAGTGACAGTCAGCCATGACGTTTCTCAGTTGCTAGCTCCTGCTTCTTTTCATGAAGTCTGCTGGACAGCCAGCTCCACTTTGTAGCCTAGGAGATGGATGAGTCCTTACTAAAGTGCTTGCCTTCCTGCCTTTTATGACGCTGGACTGTTTTAATCAGATGCGGTACGCTCTTGGCACACCGGTCTGCCAGCAGGAGAAGTGCCATAATGAAAGCATCAGTTTTGAAATCCATTGCCTTTGTTTGGAAATAAAGGTGTGTCTCTTAGTAGCATCTAATGGCCAAAAGCAGAGCAACCCTCGTTTATGGCTGTGTTTAGAACCATGATTCAATGATTCAAACCCTAGAAACCTCTCATAGAAACATTATAAATGATTACACTCTTAGCTGGGCCCGCATATGTATGTATATTAAAGGTATTGACATGTGGGGACAGTTGTCAGATGTATAAAACAATCTCACTTGAATTTCACTGTACCCTGTGGAAGAGTGAGTTTATCTCCATTTAAAGACCAGGAAACAGGATTATTAAACTAGTGAATAGAGGCACTAGAATTTGGCTTAAACTCTGTTCTTCCCTGTTCCTTTTCACACACTCTCTTTTTAAAAAGTAGACAAGTATTGACTGACCAAGGAACAAACCCAGGAGTGTGTGTGTGTGTGTGTGTGTGTGTGTGTGTGTGTGTGTGTGTGTGTGTGTGTAGGACAGAAAAAGAACTTTTGTAATCCTAGCCTTAACCCTAACCCTATCTCTCTGGGCCAAGCAGACCCAAAGTGGCATTCCCAATCAGGAAGTATATTTGGGGCATCTTTTCTTCCCCCACCCCTAGATTCTAGTTCCTTCACTTCCCTCCTCCAGTTTTAAAGTCATTGTGATGCTGAAGGTTGATGCATATCTAGAAGGAATGTTCCTGAATCCCACCCCTACCCCACCCCCAGTTTGTGGCTACAGACCCATTCTTTTGGTTTAGTTGTTAAAAAAAATAATCCCATCAAATCACTTCTCCTTTAGATGGGAGCTGCTGGCTGTTGAAAAGCTTCATATGTTTTAAAAGGAGTGTTAGGTTCAATGAGCTAAATGGGCAGTTTCACCTGAAGCTAGCTGTGCATGTAGCATGGACTCAGTCTAGAAAGCTTCAAAAATACAAAATATACATTTACAGGGGTGAGTAACAATGGTTCCATTTCAGGTTATTATAAGGATTAATTGAACTTGCATAACAGCACAGTGGTTGTCTTACCCTAAAGACTCAATACATTTTAATTATTTAAAATAACCATACACAATTATTTTGCTGCAGAGTTGGTATTGTACGTACAGTTTAGTATGAAAGCGATAGCATGTGAATCTGAATGTAAGCTGATAAAATTCCCTGAAAGCTTAACTCAAAGATTGCAAAACCATCACCCGTGGATGATTTATTTCTTTGCTTCTAAATCTCTATCAACAAAGCTGAGATGCCATGTATTTTAACTGGAAGAACCGTCCTTTATTGTTACAAAGTTGAGACAGGAAATTTCAGGTCATGTTAGAGGTAGAGATAAAGACTTTGAAGTACCCAGACTAGACTCTTGAAAACTATAAACTGCTCTCTGCAACAGTTCACGTGTATCTGCTTCTGGACCACACCTTATGCAAAAAATCCTTGGGATTTCCCCTTCTCCATGGCACTCAGTTCATACCTATCCACTTCTCCACCTGTGTGACTTTTCTGGAAGCAGAAGACTTCAAGGCAGGGACAGAGAGGTCAGTGAGGACGTGGGTGTTAGTAGATGAGAAAAACAACTGTCATCTTGGAGTCTTCAATGTCTGGTGGGTAAGAAGCAGGATGTCCATTTTACACATTAGCAAACTTCTCTTAGACATAACTGCTGGATGACGAGTTGGGATTGGTCCCTTCAGTTGTTGTGTTTGCTTCTCTGTTCTGATTCTAAGGAGCAAAGCTGCTCCCACTGGACAAAAAGGTAGCATCTCAGTCAGTTTCCAACACCTTTCCCTGCGGCATTTGTGCTGTCTGTGGCTCCCACACATGTTTTCTAAGTGCTGGCCCAGTGGAACTTACAGGTAGCTAAAGTTTAATCTGAGGACTGTCTGGAATGCTCATAAAAGAAGCTTGAATTGGCTGTATTTCTGCAATGCTCTCCCTTACATTCAGTGTTTTGGAACTTCTATTGTCTGCAAGCTAGGCCACTTCTCCAAATTATGTAACAAAACCCTCTGGCCTGGGACCGTCTGATTAGAGGGAGATGTTTCAGGGTATCTGGTTCACAGGTTTGTTTTAGCTGAAAGATTCTTGTCACCTAGAACAGACAGGATTGTCCTTTCTGCCTGGATGAAAAGACAAGGCCAGGGCTGTAACAGAGCCTTGTTCCCTCTGAGAATGTTGTCACCAATAGAAACTGCTGAAGAAACTACCTTTCAATTGAAATAAACCTAGAATAAGCTTGGGGTTTACGTTTGCCATTGGGCTTAATGCCATTTACGTTTGTTTGGGGGTAGACAATCACTGTGCAGCCCTGTCATAGAAACTCACTGTGTTGATCGGGCTGGCTTCAAATTTGTAGTGATTTTCCTGTCTCTGGCACTGAAGTGCTGGGGTCACAGGTGTGTACCTCCACACCCAGTTTCAATGTTGTGCTGGGTCCAGCTGCTGTCCTCTGAGCCTACCTTTCTTCCCACTTTCACCTTCTTACACATTCTTGTTTCAAAACAAGTTTTTGTAGATGATGAGTTCTCAGAGGAAGGTTACTTTAGTGCAGTGGTTCTCAACCTTCCTAATGCTGTGACCCTTTAATACAGTTCATCATGTTGTGGTGACCCCCAACCATAAAATTAATTTTGTTGCTATTTCATAGCTGTAATTTTTGCTACTGTTATGAATCATAATGTAAATATCTGTGTTTTCCAGTGGTCTTGGGTGGCCTCTGTGAAAGGGTCATTCAACCCCCAAAGGTTGAGAACCACTGCTTTCGTTGAAGGTGTGCTGTTTAAGCATGTATAAGTTACATGCTTTTCCTTGGGGGGGCAGCTTTTGTGAACCCAGGGTCTTGCGTAATTGACCATAGTTGTTTTGCTTTCAGTGCTCTTCAAGAGCTAGGAAGTTTGTTATTTCTGTGATGTTGCAGATGTATCTGGTGCCAGAAAGCAGGGGAAGGATCTCTTTATTGAAGCACACTTATGAAATCAGCCATTTTTGTGGTTTAGTTCAGGAGGTTGAATAGTGAGTGAGCATTCAGGAACATCCATGGGTCTGTCTGTCCAACTCACTGTCAGCTATTAGGAGTTATTTGTCATCTAGCTTCTTACACAGTATCTTTTGCAGTTCCAGGATGTGATGCTTAAACACAGATCATCAATTTGACAGAATGTAGGACCACCTGGGAGACAAAGCTCTGAGTCTGTCTGTGGGGGAGTTCCTAGGTTGGGTTAGCTGCCATGGGAAGACTCATCCTAAATGTGATTTGTACCATTCTACACCTAGAGTCCTAGACTGGATGAAAAGATAAAAACAAACTAAGTAACAACATTCACCTCCCTCTGCTTCCTGGCTGTGGATGCAATGTGACCTGCTGTCTCATGCACCAGGTGTCACATTTTCTTTGCATCAAGGGCCTTCAAGCTGAG